GATTTAAGCTAATCTTGTATGTAGCATGAGAATTTGTCAATGATAATTTAAACATTTATAACTTGTATATTTGTATGCATACATGCATTCAGCTCTGCTAGGGTGCCTTGGGAGGTTACCAAGCACGATTGACTGACACAATTTCTCCTTATTATTATTTACATTATAAATTGATCAAAAAGAACCAAAAACTGCCCATATACCTAGGCCGTGATCGATCGATCCCCAATCAACCATTTTGATAGAATACATTGAACTGACGAGGGCGCTGTTCATATTTGGTATATATATATATATACTAGTAAATAGAAAATTATTAAATAACAACTCACAATGAATATAAGTAAAAACTAATAAATTAATAAATAAATATAAACAAGTAAATAGTAAAACGATAAACAAACCGATTCATAATAGTCACGTCACGGCATATCGGCCAGTATCTAATTGCCATAAAAACAGTTAGCACGAGAATATACAAATTTACAAATCAGTTTCATACAGTTTCCAATAATAATGTATAAATGTTAGTTAAATGGTTATAAAAGAATAACAATACAAATTATAAAAGTTCAGGTTACAGAGTAGTAGAAAGTAGTACAGAGTTTCGTCGTCATACCATTTATTTCTTGAGAATTATGTCTCAGGATGTGTTCCCATCGATTTCATGTACCAATTGGCATGCCGTAAATAATAGTTATGAATTTAATAGTAAATATTTCAACTGGGCAATGAATACAAAGTTGTTTTGGGCGCTTAGCTCGATCTAAGCATTAGCGGGAGTTGCAGTTGAATACAACTAATGCTTAATTATTAGAATTAATATAGATAAACAACAATCATAATGAATTGTATAAAAAGTAAACCAATACATTATGATTATTAATAGTTAAGTAAAATAAATAAATAACCTCATATAATGAATATTAAGTTAATAATAAACTAATGCATATTGATTAATGAGCAAAAAATAAATAAAACTATTATGATTGACGCAAAAGTGGCGGCGTAGTCGTGTTGGCATGCAATAAAACATTCTGAAAAGTGAAGTTGCCAATTATATGCTTAGCAAAAACTTTCTTTGTAATTTTATTAGTAATCCATAGTAGCAGTGACGTCACTACCAGATTAAACTCTCGTTATTGAGCGTTACACTGAATCCTTATTGGTCTTGAATTGTATTATCATTCTATCAATATATATTTTACCGGTGTTAATCAGGCATGTAAACACCCACACGCAATATATGTATATATTTTATATCACTTATTCAAACTATCTAATTAAAATTGTAACGTACTATTTGACCTGCTATCCTGTGATCTGTAAGGGTACATGTGCACGCATAGACCATTTCCCGCAATTCAGACTGAATCTACGTCATTCGCATGGTATTGATATGATTTTAATGTTATAGTTTGACACACACACACGATATCGGTTAGAATTCCTGCACGTCCTATATGGCTTACATTAACATCGTATCAGATAGAATCATTGTTAGTCCGTGAGATTGTAATTTTGCGTGGACAAGGCTATACTGATAGATAACTACACATATTAAATTCAATTTACAGTTACAAGACGATGACCTTTATGTATAATGTCTTTGCTAGAGTAATAAACCAGATCGTCATGACGACGTGTGGACCATTATTTCACGTGAACTTCATTCAACCTGTGGGGTTCTAGCATAAACAATAAATTAATGTCACAATAGATAGTCGGGCTTTCATGGCACTCTACTATTTCCATACTCAGGACATTACACGTAAGTGTGCTAAATGCCAATCACTAAGTGAATATGTGGGTGTAGAACTTGAAGTGGTAAAAGTGTTTGTTTCGCGATCTGTTGAAATTTGTTTTGCATTGAATAGTGAAATGTCAAAAGTATTATCGTTTTCTGACGTGCACGTCGACGGTTAACTGTAAACGACTATAGAAAACTATTTGGCCAATCAATACAATCGTTCATTTGATATTTTGTTGTAATTTATGATAATGTCATGTTCGCTGAGTAACAATCCAACTTATTTTGTTGCATTTGACCCTGCAATAAAACTATGTCCTCTGTGTGTGTCATAACTTTATTTTGTTGCATTGAGCCCTGCAAAAAAATCATGTGCGCTGTGTGCCAAACAGTCCTATTTTATTGTATATGTGAGCCCTGGAGTAATTCAATGATCGCTATTTTGTTGTATACAAAGCCCTGCAATAACTCAATGCATGATGATCGCTATGTGTGCTAAATAAACCTATTTTGTTGTATCGAACCCTTCATCAAAGCCACGCACGCTGTGCAAGAGAAACAACAACTTTTTTTCACAGTTGGTTTCTTGAAAATATCTTCAATTGTTTTCGGGGAAGTCAGTCAGTGATTATATTATCGGTTACATGGTTATTTTATTTTTTACCTATGATGAATAATATCAATCAATATTGAATTACAAAGAATGTATGGAAATTTGCACGCCATGGCCGACTGAATATGACTCACACCGTCGTGGCGGTGAAAATCATATATGTCACGTTAATCAGAGTTTACATACGTTCATTTAGGAAAAAAAAAATATAAGAAAAAAATTATTTCCGTTATTTTTTAATTTTCTTCATTTCCTTAATGAATAAGGCATGTAATAATCCTAGGAAGTGGCCCTGAGTGGAACAGTGGGAACCTATGATAATCCTAAGACTAATTCAGAGTAACGACCCCCAGATCGTGAAATATCAATCTGACTTATTTGCGTAAGAAATAGTGCCGTAAGCTATCATAATGGTTCATTTATTACTACAACGTGGTTGGCACGATACGCATTGTCCCATTTACAATCCACGAGAGGCCGACGTAGACGTGTTTGCACAGCAAGCTATTGGGTATAAGCCGAGTGGGCGAGGAAATTATTAGTATGCAACCGGGGAAGTATTATTAACGACAGATGCCGACGAATTATGAGAAAGTGGGGAATGCGTCATTGACTATCTAGTCGCTATCTTCTGATTGGTTATGTTAAGGTAAATCAACTCTTGAATGAAAAAAATGCAGAATTTATCTTATTTCAGTACTTCCGGCCAATATAAGAATATTGACATAACGAAGTTAGATTACGACTTAATTTTTGAAAATTATGGCTGTTTTTCAGTGAATGACGGCCATTTTGTCAGTATTATCGCGCCAATATCTCAAATTGTAGGCTTAAGGTGTAAGGGGAAAAATTAAATATCATCATGCCCGATGGTGTACGTTTTGTTATGAAATATTGGTTTTAAAAAACTAACACAGGTGCTTTATTGGAAATGTCACTTTCGTCATAAATCAGGGCGAATATTGCTCCAATTCCTACAATATCTAATTTTTACTTGAATTCGAAATGAAATGCTTCATGACAGCTACCACGTGAATGCTCAATAGACTACGTATATCATGCATACTGCATACTGGGGCGTTCAGTATTTTGACGCTTGGTGGCAATATATTGTTTCCCTCGTGGATTCTTGCGCCATAACCATGGTGACCGTATCTACGACTGTAACTATCGACCCCCGCTCTCCATTAATCAAACTAGCCAATTGCAATCAAGATGTTCAGATTTAGGAAAGATACATCGTAGCAGGCGATACTTAAAATAGAAAACGTTTACTGCCAATGACTCTATTCGTCGGTATATAGAATTTTATGTTGTATTAGGTTATGTTATTCTTTTGTAGCAATTGCAGTATTACAAAACAAAAAAATACACCTGAACTTGAATATTTCGGGAAAGGGAATGTAAATATATTATATGTTGTTGTTTTTTTTGTTTTTTCTGGTGGAATATGTTTAATATGCTAATAGTAACTTTAGTAATACACACGTAACAAATAAATACGATCCCGATATGATGGTAGTGAATTGTTGATCACAAAAAGATAATATACAAAGACATTATTTGTAACGTGTCTCAGTTAATTATTAATACATGTATTCGGTTATTCACAAAATAATACAAATTCCTGTATTTTGTGTGTGTAACATAATTATTATATGCCCTTTTCGGACTAAAACGATACAAAAAAAAAAAAAAAAAAAAAAACGATTTGATTTTGCGCCGAACAACACTCAATTGCATACAAATACGATGTTTTGTTTTTACAACAGAGGTTAACAAAAAAGTAGGCACAGCCGAATATTCAGAGTGTTTTCACGCTGCCACGAGCTAATCGCCATTTATTAATGATCATTATTTACAATACAATAATATAATGTATAAATAACTACACCAAGTGCCCTGTAACCGGCGCAAAAAGCTGTGTAGAAAAAACCAAGGCCAAAAAACCCACGTAATGAAGGGGAAAAAATAAGCCTGGAAATCTACCCCCGCCACATGCTGAATGCGCCTGGGGGAGGGTGGCGGGTTTCATCCTTATATATTCTAAGCGGAACAAAAGAAAAAATAATGCATGCTACCCAAGAGCTCTTGAAATGCTAGAAAATAATTAAAAAATAAATACACTTGACGAGCTGCTGGCTGTGACGTGGCAACGCCAAGACTGACCAACTCACACAATGCACTCCTACAAGCCAATGCGGTATGCCAAATGCGCCCTCTAACGGGTGCCACCAAAACATTTATTTCTGGCTTTACTTCGTACCGCAAGAAATAACATTACTTGTATTGTGCTTCGTTGGTCGGATGGAGAGGTCAAAGTTCAAATACAATAGTAATTAAAATACCTCGAGTGCAGTAATATGAGCAAAATAAAAAAAAATATTGTGGTGCGCAACGCTATTGTTTACAATTAGCATAATCATACTAGTTATTTTTTGCCGTTTTTTTTATATTTTTCACTCCATGTCAAGGGTCAACAAAACACAGTCATGTGATCGACGAGAGGTGATCAAAAAAATGGCGACCAAATGAATGTGTTGTGTCCTGTAGTTCCGCATTCTGTACATTTTAAGTGTTTGACGTACAACTATCTATACAACGCTTTACCCATCAACGCATTTAGAAAAACCAGTAATGTCTCGCCATCTTGGAGACGAAGAATCGTCTCTTGAATACCTTTTTCTGGGATTCTGCAACAATTTGCGACTCGGTCAGTGGGAGTTGGCTCGAGCTCAGTTGAGAGGTTTGCATAAACACCACGGAAATCAAAATGTCACAGAAAATATTCTTGCAACCGTTACAGACTGTCCTTATGAATTTAGGTAAGTGTAATCTACTTCATTTATTGATGAGATCTATTTCATGGTGTATGATTATACATGATGATGCTATGCTCGCCATTCGTGCTATGATTGAGCCATCATGTCAACAATTATTTACCGTATTTATATATATGACTGGCAGCCTATAGAAAAGTGTCATATTTTGACCTCCTACTTTCTAAATTTAGCCATCAAGTCCATGCAGAACGAAAACCCTGCAGTGCAGAACAGTTGGAAAGAGTTTCTTAATGACCCCATACCCCTAACCTGAATCCTAACCTTAACAATCCAGCCTCCAATGTAATTCAATATGCCCCTCGAATTAACTATATATAGAGATGAAGATATACAGATGTATTGGTTTGATGATCCGATTAAAAATGGCGAAATGGTAACACATGGCCATTTTTGTGCTAAAAAATCATCGAAAATTAAGCTTTTCTGGCATTCCAGAACCAGATCTTGGTTGTTTATAGATGGATTTCGTTCAAACTTGGTACATACATTACACATTATTGTTCCTTGACGCACGTTTTTCAAATCAAAATTGCTGACTGGCATGCTTTGACTGTTTATGTTTTATTTTTGTTTTATATATTCATTATACATCATACATGTATCATAGATACATTGTATATCAGATGTATTCAAAATGGCTGATCACTAGCCATTTTGTTTTAACTACCAGTAACGCTGTTTCAGAACATTATCTCAATATGGACAAGTACTTGTTTGATGATTAGATACAAGATGACTGAATGTCAATCATTTTAATGTTAAAAAATCATCATAATCAAGCATCAGCTTCTGGATCCATATCACTGACATGTTTATGTTCCAAATATATTACCATAAACACAGTTCGTCCACAAATGTGGAGGGACTGTGCTTTAATCAAAACTATATATCTTAAATTTGATAACTAACAGTGACTATGCCAGGCATGGTACTGGAGGGTCAGGTTTAGGATTAGAGTTATGGGTGAGGTGGCCCTAAGGAACTTGCAGAACAGTTAGCCATCATTATCAAGAGGGCAGTGTTGAATGATGTCATTTTGTTATGAAAATAAACGAGCTCTTCAAATGTTGTGGTGGGTAATATGAAAGCTAAATACAAAAAATGTCAGTGGTTAGTTATTTGATCACAGAGTAGTTCAAAGCTTGTACAGTGTATAAAGTAAGATTACGACTCTTCACTTTGGAACTGAATACCTAAATATGAATCTACTTGTCTCTGAATACTCCTTAAAATCATCCAATGTGAAGCTGAAACAATCCAACACTTAAATGCATGGTAAATCATAATGTGAATATAAATTTGTTTCTCTTATATTTGTTTACAGTTATGGTTCAGAAAGCATCCCTCTACCCAGTAATTTGTCTTGGCTGTGTTTACAGGAATATAATCAGATTTATGAATCTGAGGTAAAGTATGATAATATGAAGTTACTGCAAACAAAGTACAATCATGTACAGTATCAATTGCTATTCTGTACCGTGACTGTGTACTGCTGAGTGACTATTTTTTCTGTGTCTGCTAGATAACATTATTATGTATTTATATTTACTGACCACTTGGTATATGGAGCTGGCATAGTTGTGATAAATAAAGGTTTTTAATTCTTTTAGTAGTGTATCCGTGTTTGAAATTTACATTTCCTAATGAGGTAAGATGCTGGGACCCAATACATGTAGCTAAAATAGTGCAATCACTTCTAATAGAGGATCTATGGTACTGTGAAATACTTTATTTTCGCTTGCAATTTTGTTTTCACTCAAGGTATGATTCAGAGAAAATAAAATCCAGCGAATATACCTTATTTCCTATATTATACATTCAACTTATCAAAAATCAGTGAAAATAAATTCCATATACAACACCCAAAAATTCTTTCAACAAAAATTAATTCCAGCTAAAAGTATTTTACAGTTAGTATTACACCCTGCTTGCCTCCTGGTCAAAACTTGTTATACAGTTAAATCAGTTTTGGGAATAGTTCATGGAAAAGTAGTGGGTTTTCCACTTATGTATTCTTATAGATGGTACTTTGGTGAATTTGTATTATAGTTCTATTACATGTATCTGAATAGCAGAAACAGTAGGTAAGTTAATTTTTACATTATACATGTATATAACAGGAAATCTGAACTGCTGTTTTCATTGTTTTTCTGATTTTAGGAGGAACATACAAGAACTATTTGTCGCGATACAGAATTTAAACTTCTCCTCTTTACAGCATGTTCTTACCAGGAAAATGTGTCCACTTTTCCTATAAAGGTAATATTAATCTTGTGATATCCTTGGTGTCTAGATATTTGCACTCCACACATGTAATTGAAAAAAATATATAATGAAGTTAGAAACCCACATGTACATGTTTTTGCTATTTTGCAAAAAAATATGATGCATGAAGTGCTAACCTGTAAAGGCATTCAGCCTCGATTTGTTAGGTTCATTGATTTATGTGGTATTCATGGTACAAAGATGATCTATACATATATGAGTTGACAATGTACACCATTAAAAATATATGCTTTTAAATTACATGTAGTAATTGGTGGAGATGACCTAATGCCAATTAAACTTGTATTTCTCATATTTTTCTCCTCCAGCTATCCACAAGCAAGATTGACCTTGAATAGATACATGTCTGGTAGTAACCATATGTCTCATTTATTGTAGGTACTCTACAACTACCACAATCATATTCTTACTACACGCGAAAAAGGGCAGACATTCTGTGATTCAATCCCGTCATTATGTACAGATTCTCTAACATTTCTAGCAACAATTCTGAACACTGATCCAGTTCTAGCACATTTGATAATAGAATATTTAAGTGTGAAATTTAATTTAGAATATTTAGAAAATAACCAAAGGCTTCAACAAATTTATATAGAGAGTATACAGAATGATCTGAAGGTTCTGAAATGTGTGGGTGACAAAAACAAGCTGGACATGACAGTCAAACATCTCCGCCATATGCTGTCATTCTTAGATCCAACATGGGACATGATAGATCTTGCACTGTGTGATCTATTCTGTGAACTGTTGTCATTTGCTGAGAAGAATCCATCCGTCCTATGTCATAGTGATATATACTCCAGTCTACTTGGTAGAAACACCATCTATTTACTTCAACAATTTACACTTGCTGAGAAGAAATTGAGATTTGATTTGGAAGCATGTAACTGTGATGCGCTTGACAATGACACTAGAGTATGGCTACACATTTCATGTCTGAAAGACAAGAAGAAAGCATGGATGGATTTGTTTTTCAGGTGTTTGCAAACTGATAGGCATTTACTGGAGACGATTGTGGTGAGTTTATTAATTGCTTATTTTTTTAGTTCCCGTTAGAGAAATAGGGACTTATGGATTGAACTCTGTGTGTGTCCAACTGGTAGCCATTTTGTTTTAATGAATGTGGTTCTTCAGACATATCTCTATCAGGTTATGACTGATTAAGTAATATTATTAATATATCATGTCATAGATATACAGCTGTATTGGTTTGACGATCCGATTTAAAAAAAGCGGAATGGTGGCTATGTTTGTGTTAAAATTCATTAAAATTAAGCATTTCTTGCATTCCGGAACCTGATCTTGGTTGTTCATGAATGGATTTTGTTAGCTCCGCTGTCGACTTTGTCGAGCGGAGCTTATCATATGAGTGATTGTCCGTCGTCGTCGTCGTTGTCGTCGTTCGTGTCAATGTTTTACTTTTTCGACTTCTTCTTGAAAACTACAAGCCTAAATGCTTTGATACTTGGTGTATATGTACCTTGGGTAGACCACTCTTAGGTTTGTTCATTTCATGTTGATATCTTTAATTCTCTAATTTTGGTGAATATTTTTGTCATTTTTGGTAAAAACTGATATTTTCGACTTCTTGTTAAAAACCGCAAGTGCAATTGCTTTGATATTACATATATAGGTACTACATGTGGCCTCTCTCAGTTTTGTTCATTTCGTGATGATATCTTTAATTCTCTAATTTTCTGAATATTTTTGTCATTTTTGGTAAAAACTGATATTTTCGACTTCTTGTTAAAAACCGCAAGTGCAATTGCTTTGATATTACATATATAGGTACTACATGTGGACCTCTCTCAGATTTGTTCATTTTGTAATGATATCTTTAATTCTCTAATTTTGGTGAATATTTTTGTAATTTTTGGTAAAAAGTGATATTTTCGACTTCTTGTTAAAAACCAATAGTTCAATTGCTTTGATATTACATATATAGATACTACATGTAGACCTTTCTCAGATTTGTTCATTTTGTGATGATATCTTCAGTTCTCTAATTTTGGTGAATATTTTTGTCATTGTTGGTAAAAAGTGATATTTTCGACTTCTTGTTGAAAACTGTAAGTCCGATTGCTTTGATATTACATATATAGGTACTACATGTGGACCTCCCTCAGATTTGTTCGTTTTGTGATGATATCTTCAATTCTCTAATTAATTTATTTTGGTGAATATTTTTGTAATTTTTTGGTAAAAAGTGATATTTTCGACTTCTTGTTAAAAACTAAGTCCGATTGCTTTGATACTATTCATATTGTTCATTTTCTAATGATGTCTTCAGTTCTTTAATTGAAATGTGCATTGCTAACAGCGGAGCTATCTCAGCC